TATTCTAAACACGACTTAATAGATCAAACTCAACTGATGCAGCATTAAGTATGAAAAGAAGAACAATATCTAGACAATCAAACCGCTGAAAGTTTCATAGAGTGGTGGATATCCGATATAATTTGAATCAACATCGATATTTAACCTAATCGGCTGTCCTCTACCAACAGATGTTAGCCAATTGTAGGTTAGATAACGATATTGCTAAAAATTATGTAAGATATATGATAACTCGACGAATTACATAAACAAGATTAGAGTGTCATGAAGATGGAAGCACCAATCCCGAGAATGCAAACCGCCATAACAAGTTTTACCTCTTGTTGAAGATCGAAACCGATGCAGCTCAACCCGAAAGCAAGAACTTGTCAAAATAAAACTAAAGCAAAAAGGATGGCGATGCGCCGAGATTGTATTGAACGTCTGTTTTTTTTTTACATGAGGCTCGGGGTCTATTTATACCCGAGAATTCTAAGATGTGTCCATACCGGACATGACTATTATCTCTAACAAACTCTAAAATACCATAAGTCTTTACGGCAGACTTTTGCCCAAACATATCTCTAAGGAAATTACATAAAATATCCTAATTAATAGATATAATTGCCTTCTCAGGACTCTATCCTTGCGTGGCAATCACCATGAAGCACATTAACTCAACCCGATATCGCACACCAAGTCGTATTATCGGAATCGGCTATATTGGCTAACCCCGTCCGACTCAAACTCTGTCGATCCTGACCGTATCCGTTGGATACAGCCGATTCTTTCTCTGTTTCCGCAACGATCTTCGTCCTGGACTCCACTTCGATCTAACCTTCTTCTCCGATGCTGACACTACCAAATTTGGTCGTTAACAAATTCCTACCAGATAAATCAAATGCCATAAGTGGCAGCAACAAAAGGAAGAAGATGGAAACTGAAACGGAGGTATCATATTTTTTTCAATTGTCTTCTTTGTGATTAAGCTTTTTTTTTTTACTATTCCTCTTTTTCATTGTATTTTTACTAGGTATCATTCTTTTTCTTTTCATTCTTTCTTCCATATGTTTTTCAGAGTAGCAATCTCCATGTTGCCCTTGACACACGAACAAACAGTAGCCCTTTTGGATTTGGTGACATCTTCATAGTTGAGTATCCTGAATCGCCTCACCAAGATACATTGTAAGTATCAACAATTTTTTTTTGATTTATCTCACTCACAGTCACATCCTTTTCTGTACATGTTTTTTTTTTACTTCACACTTTCATTTTTTATGTAGACACGACTGCGGGTTCTGTGTTATGAGGATGCTCGAGTGTCACAGTGGCAGGAGTCTTGTTGGATATACGACGGTACTGGTTTTTTTGCTACCAAAAATCGGTTGTTTGTTCCATCTCTAGAGAAATGCTCATTGGTTCTCATATTGTTTCATTTTTTTCCCCAGAGAGACACCATGAAATACCGCAAGCAGTTATGCCATAGGTTGATTTACCATCGCTTCAACGACCTACATCCACATCGCGTCATCTAAAGCTAGTGACGGTGTTTGTTTTAAAATGTAAAGGCAACTCCATAGTGCTTTTGAACCATGTACTGACCTCCGCCCCTCGCCCCCCCCCCCCCCCCCCCCAACAAAAAACAACCAGGCCAACTATCTGGTGGTACCACCATTTTTTTTTGTTTTAAATCATGTGAATATGTGAACAAATGTCACCATGTAATGGCTACTGCAGTGTCACCATGTGAAATACATCCAGATTTATTTTTCATTTGCAGCACTCAACTTTTTTTATGCCTGTTGTGTGATAACTTTTTTTAAAAATATATATCGCGAATTTAAACCATGAAATCGAAATGTCAATAAGTATCTGGGGGGTTGGTACCTAAAATGTTTTTTTCTCTCGTATTTGAAAGGTATCAGGGTCTTGGTACCTCACAAAATGGGGTTGGTACCTACAAGCATCGGAGGCTTTGATTGGTACCTCCCAGTGAAGGTATCATGACATGGTACCTTGGTACCTCACACAATGGGGTTTGGTACCTAGTACCAAGTACCACATCTGAACCTAGGGTTACTGTGGAACATATGGTACCTGCTACCACCACCTTGTCTAAACTAGGTACCAGACCTGGTACCTCAAAGAAAACCCAGGTATCAGGTATAAACCTAGGAACCAGACATGACACCTCACAGGATAGGGGTACCAGCCTCACAAATATAGGTACCAGGGTCTGGTGCCTAGCAATAACCAAGGTACCAGACCTAGTACCTCACATAAAACCCAGGTACCAGGTCTAAACCTAGGAACCATACATGGTTCCTCACAGGATAGGGGTACCAGCCTCACACAATACAATACAGGTACCAGGGTCTGGTGCCTAGAAACAACCAAGGTACCAGACCTGGTACCTCACAAAAAAACCCGGGTACCAAGTCTTAACCTAGGAACCAGACATGGTTCCTCACAGGATAGGGGTACCAGCCTCACACAATACAGGTACCAGGGTCTGGTGCCTAGAAACAACCCAGGTATCAGGTCTGGTACCTCACAAAAAAACCAAGGTACCAGGTCTTAACCCAGGCACCAGACCTGATACTTTACAGCACATGGTCACTATAGGTATCATGACTGGTACCACACAGTCATGACCAGCTCACTACATGTATCAGTCATGACCAGCTCCGTACATCTCACAACAAGGTACCAAGATCACCTCACAGTACAAGTATCAGATAAAATTCAAGTCTCAAGTGCAACAAAATTTGACATTCTCTGACCATACATCACAATTGTTCAGAAGCTTTCAATTCAGTATCAGGCATCATCATCATGACTTGATACTTGTTCCATCGCTCTTTCAACAGAGACATCTTCCTTGCCACTCTGTTGTTCTTTGATACTTCTTTCACCAAGGAAATCACTCCCTTCATTTGCTATCTTTTCTATCATTCTTCCAGCGGATCCAACCGAGGAGTCCATTTTTTAACTGAAACTGCAACTGCATGAATAATTCACACATTTTTTTCAGTAATTTTTTTGGCCCCACACAGGCAGAACACAAACCATTATAGCTTGAAAAAAAATAGAGACATGCTGGTACCTACACTAGAGACAAGCTAATACCTAAACTAGAGAAAAAAAACTCATGCCCAAAAACTAGAGAAGATGATACCTATCTGGGAGGACGAAGGAGCACTCCTGCTCGGAGTGAGGCGTGCTGGGTTCTGGCTGGGGCCGCTCGGAGTAGTTGCGGCGTCGCGGAGCGTCACCGGTGAGGTATCGCACACCTCCGCGCGTGATACCGAGCGGGGTTCTGGCTTGGGGGAGTCCCTACTTGGAGTAGTTGCTGGCGGTGCCGGCGAGGTATCGAGGGTTCGGGGCCTCGATACGGGGCGGAGGAAGAAGCACTCCTGCTCGGAGTAGTTGTGGCGTCGCGGAGCGTCGCCGGCAAGGTATCGCGCGCAGAGGCGCGCGATACTGAGCTGGGTTCTGGCTGGGGCCGCTCAGAGTAGTTGCGGCGGCCCTCTGCGCCACTGGCGAGGTATCGCGCGCAGCTGCTTTCTGGTTGGGGTTGCTCTGAGTAGTTGCGTATCAGCCGGGTTCTAGATGGGGAATCGAGCAGAGTTGACCTTGGTCGGAAAAACGACGAAGTCTGGTATTAAATCTGTCGGGGTGGTTTTGTTAATTATCCCATGACTACTGCGTTGCAACGGAATCCCGTACGGTAGCTGCCCTCATCCTTCAAATGAAGTACACGTATAGTCATCTTGCTGCCATGGGACACTTGGCATACCATTGAAAAAATAATTAGGTACGTAGTACTTCCTCCGTTTTATATTATAAGACTTTCTAGCATTGCCCATATTCCAGGGGCGAAGCCAGGATAAATGGTCACCGGGGTCAGTATTAACCAGGGTTTACGTTTTTGACCAAAACCAACCAAAAATCATGTAATTTGATGTTTCGACGTGGGACGAAAAGTATATTTTGAGTGAAATTTTGAATGTTTTTTAGAATTCACGACAAAACTATATCAAAACTTATTAAAATTTGGTGAAAAATATCGTATCGCTACATTGGAATCCAACACTAACTCGGAAATGTCATCTAGTTTGTAATTAATGATCTAAGACTATACAAAATACAAGACAAAATAATGACAATACATTATGATAAAATGAAATGACTACAAATTTGTTAGAAACCATACATTATTAATTTGTAAAAGACACCAAATGAACCAAAGATTATCAAAACCACTGATTCTTGCCTTTCGTTCTGCTAGAAAAAAAATGATATAAGATGTCAAGATGTGCAGCGCTGGTGCGGGACAAAGTGCTCGAAGGAATATGATGGCGCAACAAGAGAATTTGTGGAGTTATTTTTGGACCCAAATCTCAATCCTATATGTATATTGGGCTGATGTATAAATCATAAGTGCTAGCTAATTTTTTATTTGTTGTTTGTTAGTATCGTTCCTAGTCACTAATTGGGCTTTGACAGAACAATCAGTAATATCACTAGGGTCTAGTTTTTCTCTTTGCTGGGGTCATAGATGGTAAAATAAAGAGGGGTAGGAGAGGTTCGCAAAACATCGTTCGAGTCAACTTATCCCTATGAATGGTTGTAGCTTCGCCCCTGCCATATTCAGCAATGCTAGAAAATCTTATAATATGAAATGGAGAAAGTATAACCATATAAATCGAAGTACTTGCGCTGGGTCGAAGACTCGACCTAAATGGATAGGTTCCACCAAAAGAAACATAACCGTCGGTAAAACGCACTCATGCTCACGCTGTGTGGATGCAAAACTGAACAACTCTTAACTCTGTCGAACATCTACAAATAACTGAAGAACAGAGAAAACAGTATGTGTGAGCAGAGTTTGCACTGCATATACTAGCGGGCTGATTCGCTTCAGATCGTATCTTCCAGCCAGCTGCTGCAAGTATACAGAATCCAGAAGAAAATTAACGTGCAGATACTACGTGCAACTAGCAAAGCAAATTTCAAAGTTACGAATCCAAAGGAACGCTTTTGGCACTGAAGATTATCAGCTCATAATCTGACAACCAACCGAGTTATTCGCTGCACACATATACAGTGACTAGCTGAGTGCCCGTGCGTTACAACGGAGAAAATAATTCACACCTAACTACGACTCAATATATAAATGATGCAAAATTGTGAAAAATGCAAAAGAGAAAGGAACAGCTTACGCCTAAATCTCTTATTCTAACATGAACATAGAAGAGAGAGAGAACCATGCATGATACTAGCTGTTTCTGAATTTTATCAGAGTCCACGAATTCCGTAGCAATTTGGCTGTCGATCAATGCAGCCTTGTCCGATCACTTCTTGGCCGTCTCCTCGGCTGCCGCCTTGTTCGCCTGCGCATCCGCCGCCGCCGCGGCGGTCACCGGCGGACCAGCCGCGGCCTCCTTCTCGCCTCCGGCCGCCTTCTTCTCAATCTCTCCAGCTGCCTTCTCTGCCTCGCCGTCCTTGTTGGCGTCCGTGTCGCCGCCGGTGTCCTTCGCTGGCTGCGGCGGAGGAGGCGCCATGTGCGGCGGCGGGGTCTGCTTGAGCTTCATGAGGACCTGGCGCATCCGGGAGAGGTCGGTGGGCTTGCCGGGCTTGGTGCCCTGGACGACCACCACGCCGGGCTGCTTCGCCTTGGCGTTGGCCTCCGCCGACTGCTTCTCCCTCCTCTTGCCCCGCTTCTCCAGCCCCGGGATCTCGTGCGGCACCATCTCCGCGATCGCCTTCCAGTACTGCTTCTCCGCCTCCCCGTGGAACTTCTCCTGCTTCGCCAAGAACAGCTGCACCATCCATGGCGATGATGGCGGGTCAGTCTGATAGTTCACGAGTTGTATGATGTGCAGCTCATCAATGGCGGAGAAGAAGATGGTGACCGACCAACCTTCTCCCGGTCTCTGTTCTGAGCCCGGTTGGTGTCGCCGTTGAGCTTGCGCTTCTCGGCGAAGGATCGCTTGAACTCGTCGGCTTCCGCGATGATCTCGCCGCGCCGCTCCCTCTCCTTCCGCTCCTTCTCCTCCAGCATCAGCGCGTTTTGGCTGCAGAATTAAACCCATCGATTTCTTGATTTCTTTTTCGATCAAGCTTTGGGGGAGGCGGCAGATCAGATCAAGAAATGCGCGCGAATTGATGCTTTTTGGGAGATTATGGGATGATCGGAGTGGAGCACACTCACCGGCGCCACTCACGCCGGAGGATGCCCTCCTCCTTCATGGCCTCGGGCGGCGGCAGGACGGGCCCGTCGTCGCCGTCTCCGGCGCCGGCGAAGAGGTCGTCGTCGATGCCACCGCCGTCGCCGACCACCACGCCGCCACCCATGACGTCGCCGATCTGGTCCACGTGGCCATTCATCACGTCCCCCGACCCGCCGTACCCATACGCGGCGCCGCCGTTCGAGCTCGAGCCCAGGGGAATGCCGGCGCCGACGCCGCCGTCGGTCCCGGCGCCGGCGCCAGCCAGGTCGTCCTCGGAGGCGGCGGTGCCGAAGGACGAGTAGGACGTGGCGAAGCGGTGGCCACGGCGCAGGGCGCCGAGGCCGCCCTGGGCGCCGTCGGCGGCGGGGTCGAAGGGAGCGGGAGGGAGCACGTCGTCGTCGTCGGCGTCGCCGTCGCCGGCGACGGCCGCGACGGAGTCGAAGGATGACATGGCGATGGCGCACGCGCGCGGTAGGATGGGATAGCGGCTTAGCGGATCTTTGGGAGGTTTTTTTGGATCCGACAAGAGTGTTGGAGAGGAAGAGGGAGGTACCGTTATTTTCTTAGAGACATTGCTCGGTTAAGTTTGACCGTTATTTTCTCGTTTTGACATTTTTTTTACATAATAATTTTTTTTTGGCTTTTACTTAAAAAAACTACGACATAATTTTATAAATGAATAATGATTACAAAATTACATCTTATAACTTAAGGAAAACTAATTACAGTGTATTGTATAAACTTTGCCCATCCTTTTTATTTCCGTAAGTTTTACTCTTTCCATTGCATACTTTGGATCACTTCCATACTCTTTTGTTAGTTGACCATAATTTTTTATGAAAATTAATACAACATATTTGCTGTAAAAGAAATCTATTTATACGATACATAAATAATTTTTAATAACAAATAAATAATACTAGTTTAGTCATTTCTACAAATAAATAATATATCGCATAATAAACTCATATATACTATTTAAAATGTTAGTTGTGGTAATATCCATTTCCACACCATCCTTACCAGGCTACCACTGACATGTGGGCTCCATAATCTATACTATTATATTATATTATATTATATTACAATGAGTCATCTCCCGTTTCATTATTGGCTCTCTCCAAATTTCAAAATCACCTACTTGTTCAATAAAGAAAATTATAGTATTGCCTGAACTAAATAAGTGCTTATTAATTGATTTAATAAGGTAGAGACTCAATTTGTTTTCTGTTACAATACATTGGCTCTAAGCTAGTAATTATAATATTATCATATAACAAATTTCTACCCTATAACAATATACTACATAAATTTATATGTTTCTTTATACCAAAATGTAAAATGGACTTTTTGATAGAAATGAATGGTCAGCTTAAGATCAACTGATGAAAAAGGAGTAAGAGAGAAAGAGAGAATCTATTATATGCCACCGAGTTTATCACAAGTCCATAATTTACCACTGACTTTGTCACGTTCTATAATATATCATCAACTTTGGCTTAACTTCTACGATTTACCATTGTCGTCCGGTTAGCCTTCGTTAGTACTGTACAATTTTGTCCAAATGACCAAAATACCCATATGATAAAAACTTTCAAAATTTGGACAAAAATTCTGAAATATCAGATATTAAGTTTTTGGCAAAATTTTGGATTTTTACAATCTTATATTTCTAATATGATATTTTGAATTTTTGTCCAAATTATGGAAGTTTTTTTCCTAGGGGTATTTTGGTCATTTGGACAAAATTATATAGTGCTAGGAGGCTAATCGGACAGTGATGGTAAATAGTAGAAGTTAAGTAAAAGTCGGTGGCATTTTATAGAATGTGATAAAGTCAGTGGCAAATCGTAGAGCCGTGACAAACTTAGTGGTATATAATGGATTCTCTCTAATAAAGATCAAAACTAAAATTCGAAGATAGACAATGTAATGAGCAAAACCCCACAGTATAAAAGGGATTGAGGAATATTTCAGGAGTATATAGGGAATATTTCAGTTAGCGTGAGTATGCATAACTGTTATTTCTCCCAATAGCTTACTAGAGCTATATATATTCCTTCTTTTTCGTAAATCAGAAAAGTAGAATCTTCGAAATCATCAGCCCATGAAGTAGAATCTTCGAAATCATCGGCTGATGATTATGTCGATCAAAGTTCACTCGTTTCACCGCCGACTAACGTCTAATCAATGTGGAAGACAACACAGGTAACTGAGCCGTAAATAAGTGATTCGTCCAAGCGAACCCAATCTGATGAGGACACCACCACAAGAGCACTATACTAATAGGGAACCTCCAGTACAACGCCTTTAAATAGATCGAGACATCTAGAATATCGTAATCGCTATCCCCGAACATATAGAACATTTTTTTTTTACTTGTAGGGTCTACCGAAGACATGGAAGAGAGACGGGGCATCACAACATCGTCTCTAGGAGGATAAATAGTGCCCACATGTGTCACTGATGTCTCTCCTCAAGTGGTAGCCGGCTCTCCCACAACAGCAATGGTGGCTACCAAACGGATGAATTGGCCGAATTGGCCACAGTAGGAGAAGTCTAGAATGGATGAATTGGCCGAGCTCTCAGTATACTGGTCCTTCAATTGCTAGTCTGGCTAGTCTGAACACGGTTTTCTAAAGAGGCAATTTCATTCTTACCCCTATTTTAATATCCAACATTAATTTTATCTCTGTTTTTTAGGTTTTTTTATTTCTTTTTTTTAAGAAGCCAAATTTTACTCCCACTTTGGACTGGAGGATGGATATGGACATGTTGACGGTATTAAATTTTTTATGAAAATACATCCATACCTTTACTTGCTATTACACATTTCACACTTTGTTTGTCAATTGTGCATCTGCCCCCTATTTGTACATGCAGCTAGTAGTTCTGATAAATTAACTTTGACAGAATTTCAACAAAATTTTGTTTCCGGCACCGCGTTCCAGAATAGCACATTCCACCGTCGCCGTGGACAGCTTGAGCTTGCTAAGCATCAACACGAACCATGAAGTCAGAGGCTGGGACATACGACTTCCAAGAATCAGCCTGCAAACGAATGGTTCCACGTGTTTCAATACCTTTGAATTGAATTTCTTATGACGATTGAGAAGATAGCGCATGCAAGAAAAAATAAATGCAGACATCGTCGTTTTTACAGATATGAACCATCATATTGGTTAGCCTTGTCTAGTGCACAAACCAAAATCAGTTAAACATTCCAGTAAAGTAAAATAAAATATGGCTAAGTTAGAGAACTCATTTCAAATAGAGTGAATAAAAATCGAATCCTCATGTCATTACATCTTAGGAATCAACAAGATACCTATCAAGCACAAGTTCACAACTAAAGAAAACTACTACATTCCCCTGAGAAACCTTATTTTGCTGAGAGGCCAAGACCTGAAACAAATTATTGAGACAGCCTCTAAATGGAATCTGGGACTGAAATTATTGAGGCAAAATAAACGGATCAACTGCAAAAAATGGGAATCCTTAGTTTCCAACTCTTTTCAGACTCCCAGCACGCCCAGATATATACATACAGGCATAGCAGAAATGTATGTACAGATATTCTGAAGCCACAACGTTAGAACAGCTCAAAACCACACTATGTTAGTTGGTGCCCAGAATCATTCTGTTCCAGCCCTACCTAGACTTCTCATTGTGCACCTCGATTGTACCTAAATCAACCTATTTCTAAAGTCTCAGGATTTATCTGGTCCAGGGACCTCGAAATTGCCTGTTCGTTAAGTTGGGCATTCCAGGATTCTGTTGTATCAGGTTTGTCCACTGCATGTTATTCAGAGAACCTACAGATGCTACATGACTGCTTGAACTACTGGGCAGATTCTGGGTGTAACCATATATACTAGGAGCTTGAAGATTTGTGCCTTGAGTTCTAGGAACAAAACTTCCAGACATAGGAACTTGGTTCCTTATTTCAAGGAGCTGGCTAGGGCTGGACCTACCAGATTGCATGTGTAGCGACGATGACGGTAGTCTGTACTGGGCCAAAGCACTGAAGAGGCTTCCATCTGTGTTGCTGCTTCCAACTGGAAAGGCCTGGGGCAAGCAGTTATTTGACTCCATTGCAGGCCAATTATCATGTGGCTGGTGCTCCTGAGGGAAGCGGTTATATCTATGATCCATAGAACCAGAAGAAGCGAAAGAATGCTGTTCAAGGATAGAATTGTTTCCTTTAGTTTGAAAACTCACATCAGAATACAAATTCTTGTGAAGTTCATCATAAAGGACACTGTTGCTCTGATCAACCAACTGTTGCTCCTGCAAGGGACTGGGAAAGTGAGTGGGCTGAGAGAATCGGTTGTTGTCCAAAGAATGCAAATCAGTTGACTGCCCAATGCAATCTGTATGTTCAAGGGAGTAAGGAAGCATTCCAATGTCATTTGCTACTGTCTGGACCTGACCATTGCTTTGCCGGTTTGAACAAGGTTGCATAAATGACGCTGGATTGTCCATTGGGAAGGCAGCCGCAATGGTGACTTGTGACTGCTGCTGACTTAAAATACCATTCTCCATGCAAACTACAGAACCCTGTTGTCCAGCAGGGAGATGTCTATGCCCAATCTGTAAGCCACCTGAACCATTATACACGCTACTATTCTCCAGTGGAAGGTAATAGGAATCATCAGGTTCAGGCAACTCCCATAAATCTTTAACACCTTTTGCTGCTTGACCATTTAGATGTTCTTCCACAGGAATTTGTCCCCCTGAGGTGTTGGAAAGCAATGTGGAACTGTTTGATGGTATCACTGTAGTATTCTCAACCTCTTTCGAATCCATAGTTACATCATTCATCTCTGGATAACTGTTTACTAAAGAAATATCATTTGCACTATGGCCTTTGTCTATCATAATTTTGTATCTGGTGCCTTTCAGGCCCTGATTTTGCTCATGAGCATGCATTGATGGCCCTGTGTAAGTAATGCCCTCAAGACTTTGAGCTTGTGTATTTTGGCTCTCACGAGTGTCAATGGGAGCGGTTGTATAACAGGTAGTCTTGATCTGCCGTCTCTCTGGGCTATGATCAATAATAGTTGTATCTGTATAGCTTATTTCTTTGAAATCTTCAGCTTGAACATCTGGACCATCATTACTGAATTTTGTATTCACGAAATCTTCATTCTGCTCCTCTACGTTGCTGGCACAGAATGAAATGCTTCTATCTGCACAGCTGGTGCCCTTGTAATCTTGGGCTTGCAAATCAGAGTTCTCCCTACCCTGACTATCATGATGGTCAGCAGATGTTTCAATATGCTTGGTTTCATCATCATCACAATCTTGACGAGATGGGCAATGATCATTACCACCTTGCAACATATCTTCAGACAACTGTTCTACCAGAGCATCCTGCAAATCAGTGCTGCCGTCATTTTCGCAGGCACCATGTTGACCAAGCTCTTTTGTTATGCCTGCTAACTGGTCTGCCTTCTCATCATAAACAAAAATAAATAAACCATAATCATCTATTGAGTACTCAAATAATTATTTCTTTTCAAAGGAAATTATGTCCGTATAAATAAGTAGAACCCCTACAACTAATCGAGTGTTATTGTGTTAACTTTCTCTAGAAAATGACAAGGTACTACAACATATCAGTAAGAAAACACTGCACAGCAATTTCCCTTCAGTAATGACAATTTTTTAGATCTTCCACAGTAGATCCATTACAAATCAGTATTTTATACACATGGTAACAGAGTTTTAGAATGAACATCATGTCGAATAGTAACTTTGCTGCTGTGTATGATATGATACATGAAAAATACAAGACACATAGTAGTAGGAACAAAGTGATATCATCCACTATATTTTTCATACATTCAAGTAAAATACCTTGATCTGGAAAATCAAAAGACTTTCAAACAAGAATTGAAAGGATTAGTCACAGCGAACCTTTCTCATGATAGATACATTCTTTTCGCCTAGCTCAAGACCAAGTAAATTTCTCAGTTTCTCTGTTGTCACCCTATTGTTCTTAAGGACCTCGAAAGCAGCAGGTATATCATTGCAGGATATGTTCAACCTATATGCAAATAATTTACCATAAGAATCTTGAACCCAAAAACAAGATAAAAATGTTAAAATTAAAATGTTACTAACCAATGTTCACGCAGTCTCCTCTGTTCATCATCTATTAATGTTCCATATGGTTTTACATGGAATTTATCAAGGTTACCAATTACACGAGTAAGATGCTTGGTTTTAATGCCATCACCAGACTGCTTCATGCTCTTAACAAGGTTGTGCTGTGTTCTGCTGATCTGAAAAAGTTAAACAAGCATTAATATCACAGAACATCGAATTATATATTCCATATAGTAAAGTATATTACATATGATTGGTCAAAATTAGATATCTGTTATTTTCTGTAAATATTAGTCAACATTCAGAACTATATAATTGTTTAGATTAGCTACATGCGTTAACTGGAAAGAATCATCAAATATACTTTCTAAAAGCTCTGCTGCAAAATATTATATATTAAATATTATTGTCTTTTTATGCTAAAGAAACAATTTGGCAGTTAGATTGCCATCTATCCAAATTTGTAATCAAATTTACACAGCTCTAGCTGCGGTTAATGTTACACAGTAAAACAAGACTATTAATTCTTCAAAAGAATTGGGAAAGAAGATAACAATAATTTAGGAACTAAATAAGAGAAAGGGGTTATATATGTGAGATAATGGTAATTAAGCAATTTAAGATTTTTATTATAGAGCTGATATCATTCATTAAGCATTTAATTTTGCTTTGTAATATAATCCTCAAAACTAGAAGAAAAGGAAATAAAACTTTGGGAGCAAAGAAAGCAAATATACAAATAGAAGGTTAGTTTCAGCAATATATACAAGTTTGGCAGCTAAATGTCTCCTTTTTTATTTTAAGATGGGCACTGAAACTAATTGCATGATTTCCATTTGGCTATTACAGAGGTGCACAAATACAAGACTGAGCTCATTGTTCTTTCTTAATGAAGCTCCAATACTCTCCCGAGAGAGAGAGAGAGAGAGAGAGAGAGAGAGAGAGAGAGAGAAGCTCAAATAGCCAATGCTGAACAAAAATACTTCATTATGGCTCACATAACATCTTACCTCAATATATGACATAAACTTCGAAACATCACTACTCTGTGCAACCTTCAAGGGCATTTCACTACTGGTAACTTTTGGTCGCGTATCTCCTTGCTTGTGTTTAGCAAGGTTATTATCCCTGCACACACATAACGGATAGAGGTTTTAGCAATTCAGAAGTCCTTTGTTGAAATTAGATAGCATCTCTCTACTTAAATATTTAATCAGATTATGTCTTTTTTTTCCTTAAAAAAGTCAATTGGTAAAAGAAACATTGATGACTGTTTATACAATTAGAAAACTAAGCTATTTTAATGCACAACAACGGCAGTAATTGAATATGTCGATATGATTAGCCAGAAAACTAAGGCACTTGGCAATTTTAAAGCACTGAAATGTTAGAACTACACATTGATCGTGTTACTTGGAACACCACTCAAATGTGAAAAAGGATAGTCCAACGGCAATATAATGTATGATTTGAAGAACAGAAGGATGAATAGATGATAATTTTGCAAGTGGAATTTAAAAGGAAATGAGAAACAGTAATTTATCAAGATACAGAATATAGAAGATCAAAAAATTTAAGAAGCATAACCTGAACATTATTTCTGGATCATCAGAACTTAGCCATCTCTTCTTCCATTTCTTCAAGGACTCAACCATGCTGCACAATTATCTTAGCATAAATATCATAGCCAAAATGGTACATTTATAACAGAATTGGATGGTTTGGTATACTTGGAATGGTAGTTATTCAGGTTAACACGATATGCCTTCTCGTCAGCTCTAATTTGCTTCTCCTTATTAAGTAAGGCATCTGGGTGAGTATCACCATAGCAAAGAGAGGAGGACCTGTAATTTAATAATAATTCAATCAGCAATCAACATCTTGCAGAAATTGAGAAGTATAGAAGTCTAGTGAACAATTTTAAAAGACAAAAGAAGTGCAGTGCAATATCATTTGTGAACAACTGAACAAACAGGCAGGCGTTGTCCTGGAGCAGGGCTGTCAGGGCGACTGTCCTGGGCCCCGGACCCAAGCCCACATGTGCACCACGAGTTAGTTATGTATCGGTAGCCAGGAGACTAGTAGAGGCCCGTGCAAGCCAATAATTGCTCTCATTCCGCTTCTGCCGCAAGTTACGAAAAGTTGACAACGCCTTGTTCCCTATTTTTCCAAAATGTACACTGATGCAGCTCCTAATCTCCTGTTTGGTTGCTTTCTTTCACATAATTGATTTGAAGAATTTCAACCCGGCCCATATCTAGTTTTGCAAGATCAACTCCAAAAAATTGGATCTTTGCTTCATAGTCAAAATAAAACATCGAGGTAAGACAAGATTATTAGATCCAAACATTGTTGCTAAATCGTAAAGCCGAGTCGAGATACCATCTACCGAATAGGAGACTAGTATTGACTAGTCATTGAGTTGACTATTCTATCATGGTGTTACTACATATATCGATTACTTCTACTGCTAGGATGTTATTACTTGCTGTGCCTAATGGACCCAGTGGAGCTCTCCTCTCATCTCCCTTTCACTCAATAGGGCCTGATAGGCCAGGTCTCCCAAACAACTCACTGTTGCAGCCTTCACTGCACTCCTTTGCGTCTTCTGTTGCCAGCAAGTCAAGTCGTGCCGCTGAAGTGGTGCTCCATGAAAGACTTTAGGATTGGTCATAGGTAGGACATGAAAACAGTGAATCCAGAATATTCTTGTTATTTTGATTTCCTTGGTATTGCTTTATTTCTATAATACATTTGCACTAATTTTTAATGGTAATGTGTCCTTTTCTCATTTCAGCACTCCTCTCAGAGCGCTTGAGGACTTTGTCTTATACGTATTTTTCTTTGTTCTATTTCAGTTTATACATGATCAAAATTTAGGTGCTTTTGTTCCTTATTCCTACCAAATCTTGTATTATTGTATGGTATAAATTACTGTATTTAGCTGATGCGATATTCTCTCATGCTCCAGAGTGTATATCCTAGTAGTGTGTAATATTTTTTGAACATTACATTTGTTACTATAATAAAATTACTGTTAGCACCTGCATCATAAACAGGACTTCATGATCCTTGGACAATCATGGTAGTAAACATCTGCTGGAGGGAGGTCGCTTGGTGACAACTTCAACTAGAATGGACGGTGATGTGAGGCAGGGATTCTAGATTAATCTGTAATAGAACTGGGGAAGACCAGGGCTCTGTTTAGGGACTTGTTTATTCGTCTTTGTTTGACAGAAAGAGATGCCAGCCCCATTTATAGATGAGTTGACCCACGGGATGCTTATCTCTAAAACTAAGGAAATAGATAACAACTCAATAATATCTCTAAAATAACAACTGAATACTGCTGATACAGTATCAAATGGGAAAATAGTGATTGTTCACATGCATGAACGGTCTATCGATTGTAATTCATGTACGTGACAGACAATGTGTGCAACCACATGCCTAATAGGAATTATGCATGAAATAGGATAAAAATGAACTCTAATGTCAGCAACTAGCCCACTATATCACTTTTAATGGTGTGGATCAACATGTATTGCCTACAAAATATGATGAGTGTAAAGGGAACATTCTGGGGTATCAGTGGCTTTTGGTGTTAGTATGAGCCTTCCAGAATGAGTCATAGTCCCTCAATTTGGTAGCTCTTGAAATCCAATTTAAAGGTTTTGTTTGATATGCAAAAGTACATTTTGACATTATGTTAGCTTATGCATTATTCTATTAATCATATATTCATATTGGAGCTAGTAATTGTTCGGCGTACATAAATACCAGGTAGAATATTTTAGAAAGCTGATCACATTTACGTAACACTTAGAAAGAGAGTTGGCATGTGAGCTGGAGCAACACATCCCAAGCCCCAGCTTTAGCAGGACAAACAATTATATGTTCAACAAAAACACAAAATGAATAAGGGACAAACTGCATGACTTCTATGATGGATGTAAAACATACCTAACTTGTTCCCATGAGAATATGCCAAACAAAATAAAATAAAATATTCAAATGGAGAATCACGCCACATCTATGCAAGGCAAAAAGGAGTTCTACGAGGAAAAGCATATATCCACCTGTTTCAAACCTTATTGATATTTTTTGAACATACACTAGAATGAAGATGAAACAAGTAGGCCCCTACAGAGGCAATTTCTAAAATTGTACTAGAACGCAATAAAAAATGCAGCTAAAATGTCTAGAAGTGCAAATGGAAGTGATCACAGAAATCACATCATAGAGAACTTGCCAGCTGAGGGAAGGATTTCCAAAGTGATAATTTTGGCCTTTAAGCAATAAATGAACATTTTCTTCTGCATCAATCTCAGTTGGAAGAAACTGTATGAGAAACTTTCTGTCAGCTTCTGTCAGACATGTATCCCAAACCTATAATCAATTCACAATTGTCAATATTAATATGTAATAAGAGTATACCCCTGTAATGGGGCATCAAGATATCAAGATCATTATTCTAAAGCAATTAAAGCTTTAGCACGAAAAGGCAGGCATTGTGAAAAATAGATGGCAAAAGAACAAAGCTTACATACAAAGGATAAACTAATCACACCTTATAGGACAGCACACTTCTCAAGTTCTCCAAGGAAAATGTCTCTGGAGGAATATATGTAACATCAGCCAGCCCTGAATCATGCTTCTGTCTGGAATCTATGAATGGTGCCAAGTCTGACCACAAAATCCCAACTTGTTCCTTTTGGGGAACCACTCTCTTTTGATAGTCATCCCATTTAAGAGCAATTTGAGACTTCAAACTTATATGGCAATTAGAAGACTCAACTTTTGACTTCTTCCATGTCCTGTTTTGATCTGAGTTAGTAGACCTTATTATACGTTTCTTTTGCTTGCCTGCTGCCATTCTGCAGGTCATCTGATCATAAAATGGAGGTTGTAAATCTTTTTACCAATATATGACTCTAATATTGCCTCTACACTAATGTATGTCCCATGTCAATGAAAAACAGGCTGCACCTGAAATGTACAATAATTTGGTTTGGTTGGTAGCTCAAAGACAATTGGTAACAGGAAAAAATATATATAGATTTTTCAGTCAACTTAACTGTGGACCTAGGTATACCAGTTAAAGACAGAAAGATGATGTAAGAAAGTAAGAAAAAAAAAGCTTCCCGACCACCCAAAGCTTGTTACAGCAAGTTTGACACACCCAAGCAACAAGACATCCTACAAGGAAGACGATTATCATGCAATGTTGTCTGGGTGACACCACACGGCCTCCAGGCACCCGGCCACCCACAGAGAGTTAACTGAGGTGATCGCAAGTTCCCCAAGTTAAGCAACCACTGCAAGCCCTCTGCAGCCTTGTTCCTCCCTCATATACCTTAAACACCTTTTTTGGATAAACATGACAGCATCAAAAGAAAACTAAATTTTACATCTTACTGTTTAGTATTCACGAGTCGTAGCAATTCATAATCCATTTTAGCATTTCAATTTTCTATTTTGCATAAATAGTACTTTATATCACAATTAAAATTTAAGAATGCAATTACATAAGAAAAGTGCCACTTTGAAGGAAAAATACCAAATCAATATATAGAATCACGAAGGATATTTGTCAGTAATGTAAATTATTTCATAAATAAGATTGTGACTGTCCAAATGAGCAGTCATGTAATTCCAACGAACGCTAAAAGTTAAGATAAGTTTGTGTGTATTGACCCCGTGATGAGTATAATAACTGTCTAATAAAAATTGACCAGATTTTACACCAAAGAAAATCAAATTTTAAAATTTAAGATAACTAATATGGCTGCAGGCTGCTAGTATCTGAACAAACTGTTCCTACAAAGTTAAGATACCCAAAGGTTTTAACCCAATCCATCGTGTCATTTGGCTGGCATTGCTAACAGGTGTGCCTAATTTAAATTCATAACTTCTCATATATCTGCGACTCAAGTATTCATCACAGCCAAATGTCATTGTCAGTAGTTCTCCTACTTTCCATATCACTTCCATGTTAAAACAAACTATAGGTTGCAGCCAATCAAAGTGTCAACAAATCTAGGGCCATCAAAGTTTAAACTTTGTCCTTAAGTTGAGAGGGCCTATTGACACAACAGCGGCCAGCAAGGGTGAATCCCCACAATAAATGTGCTCTCCCAAAAGTGCCAGCACTACGAAATCCGGAGCAACATAAAGTCAATATGAACCGCAATCCGTGCCTAGTGTTTGTTCAAGAAATACACGGAACCACAACAATTAGCTGCTACCATTATCGAATTATAACCAAATTCATGGAGTATTCCTCCCCCCAACCCCCCTCTACACGATTCTCCAAGGGTTCCATCACGAACGCAACAGGAACGGACGAGAACCCTACCGCTCCCCCCGAGGGCAAACCGACCGCATCGATCCCTAACGCGTCTACTCCCAAGTCCCAAACCACCCACCCACCCACCCCACCCATCCTTCCATCCATCGGATCTAGGAGGCCAGGACCAGATGCCGCGGAACGCGCGTACACGTACCTCGCGGTCGCTGCGGGAGAGGGCTAAGCCTCTCCTCCTCCCTCGTCGTCGGTGGCGGCGGCAGCGGCGGCGGCGCGGGAGCCTCGGCACCCAGTTCTGCGGCGGGGGGAAACCCTAAACCGGCCGCGCCCCTGAGGGCTGAGGCTGAGGTCTCCGCCGAGAGGAATCTGGGGCGGCGGCGGCGGCGGCGGGGGATGGTGGGGTGGAGGTAAGCAGGGGAAAGGCCCTGGATAAAGTAGAGAGCGGGGATAGGGGAAGCGACGCCACACGAGGAGGGAGGAGGAAGGAGGGAGCCTTCTATGTGGAGCGGTTTTGCGCCCCGATCCGGGTAACAAACGGTCATAGACTTACCTTCAACTTCAATATCAAAAATCAAAAGAGAGACGCTACAAAACGGAATGCTGTTCGAACGGGACAACATTAATATGGTAGTTACGATTCGGTCCCTGCGATTTACGGTGATATGTCCTAAATATCCCAGATCCAAAAATCAAGGTGCAAAACCAGGTTCCTCCTCGGCATCGCGCGCGATACCTCGTCGGCGTCGGCGACACCCAGATCCTCGTCGGCGACGGCTGGCAACCTCATTGGCGACACCCAGATCCTCGTCGGCATCGCGCGCGGAGCGCGTGATACCTCGTCGGTGTCGGTGACACCCAGATCTTCGTCGGCCACGGCCCGCAACATCGTCGGCGACACCCAGATCTTCCTCGGCATCGCGTGCACGATACCTCGTCGGCGACACCCAGATCCTCCTCGGTATCGCGCGCCACCGCACGCGATACCTCGTCGGCGACGGCCGGCAACCTCGTCGACGACACCAAAAACATCCTCGGCATCGCGCACTACCACGCGCGATACCTCGTCGGCGACGCCAACTATATCCTCGGCTTGCACGGGCAATACCTCATCGGCGCTGACCACAACCAGAACACTCCTCGGCGTTGATAGGTATTTTCATCTAAACTTGATACCTAATACTAGATGTTTTGAAACTTGATACCTAGTACTAGATGTTTTGAAACTTGATACTTGATACTAGATGTTTTAAAACTGGATACCTTATACTAGATAGATGTTTTAAAACTTGATACCTGATACTTCTGTAAGTAGAAATGCTAAATTTGTATCAAAATTGGTGAAAAAAGAAAACTGGTAATATTGTCCATGGTAATCTTACACTTATGTTTTGTGCTCATTTATCAATGTTTGTGCTCTTGCAAAAAGGCTGATAATTATTTTTTAGTAATCTGGTACTTCTGATTGTAGAACTGAAAAAAGTTTGATGAAAATTGGTACTAACCTGATAATGGTATGTTTGTCTAATTTGAGCCGTATAGAATTTAATGTTTTTTTTTTGTTTTGCACTATCAAAATGTGAAGGGGGAGTGGAAAAAAGTATGAGTTCGTCAGTTAGTTCTATTGAAAGAAGAATGGAAGATCTTCAAAACATGGGTGCTGGGGCTTGTGTTTCTGCTGAAACAAGTGTGAATGAGCAGGCTACAAGTGTGGGTGAGAGATGCTGAAGTTCTGAGGACAGCACTGCTTGAAGCTGGAATAGTCACAGGACCCACAAGTATTTTGCAAGTTGATGCTGGGGATGGATTTGAAATAGAACCAGTAAATCGAACTGGAGGATCTGAAATGGAGGCTGAAACAAGTGTGAATGAGCAGGCTACAAGTGTGGGTGAGAAGGATATAGATGCTGAAGTTCTGAGGGCAGCACTGCTTAAAGCTGGAATAGTGGCAGGACCCACGAGTATTTTGCAAGTTGATGCTGGGGATGGACTTGAAATAGAACCAGCAACTACAACTGAAGGATCTGAAATGGAGGGTGTCCAATCACAACCTGTGGTACCATTTGTTGGTATGGAGTTCTTTTCAGACAAAGAGGCACGCGTGTACTACAATAGGTATGCAAAAAATTGAGGTTTCGGTAGAAAGGTTTCGAGTTGCAAAAGAAGCAATGTCACCAAAGATTACAACAGATATGAGTTCGCTTGCTATTCTGAACGCACAAGTAAGGAGCAGAATGCAAAATCAAGTATTGGAAGCAGATCCAGGAAGTGCAACAGCATACGGAAAACTGATTGTAAGGCGAGAATGGTGGTCGTTAAAAGGGCTGAAAAGTGGGTGGTGACAATAGTAGACTTAGATCACAATCATCCTCCTTTGAGCCCCAATTCTCTAAGGTTCCTAGAATCACACCGTAACGTGTCGGATGAAGACTATGAGCTAATAGAATTACTGCACAACAACAACATCCCCACTAGAAGAATCATGTCTGTCCTGTCTGATTTGTATGGTACCATGCGTAACATACCATTCACAAAGAAAGATGTTAGCAATCTGAGGACATCGATGAGAAAACGGACTACTGCAAACGGAGACATGGCTGAAACCATCAAGTACTTCCAGGAATTGCAAGCAGAAGATCCATCGTTTTTCTATAGCATGGAACTGGACTCGGATAATACGGTTGGTAGCTTATTTTGGGTGGATGGTGCCTCAAAAGAAGCATACAAGAAATTTGGTGATTGTATCGTCTTCGACACAACATACTGCACAAATAAGTATAACCTCCCATTTGCTCCGATAATCGGGGTAAGCAACCATGGCCAGACTGTCCTATTTGGGTGTGTATTCCTGAAAAATGAAAAGATTGAAACTTTTGAATGGGTGTTTGAAACATTCTTGAAAGCAATGGATGGAAAAGAGCCACAATGCATCATGACTGATCAGGACAAAACAATGGAGATTGCAATTGCAAAAGTGCTGCCAAGAACTATTCATAGGCGCTGTATGTGGCATGTGCATAGGAATGCTAGTACTAACCTTGGTGTGCTGTTAAACGGCAAGGAAGGGTTTGAAACAGACTTGAAGTCATGCATTGATAATTCTTTGAACGAAGAAGAATTTGATGCAAGTTGGGATGCAATGATTGATAGACATGAGTTGTGTGGGAACAAGTATATGCAACACCTCTATGATAACAGGAAAAAGTGGGTCCCCTGTTTTTTCATGGATTACTTCTTCCCATTCATGAGCACCTCCCAAAGGAGTGAGAGCATGAACAAATTATTCAAAGATTTTGTCCACCCAGCTGATTTAATCAGGAATTTCATCTTCCAATATGAGAAACTTGCCCAATCTTGTCTTGACAGGGATGACAATCAGCGGTTTATAACAGTCCAAACAGACCCAAAAATGTGGTCTGGCTATCCAATGGAAGAACAAGACTCAAAGTTCTATACACGTGCAATGTTTGAGGAGTTTCAAGAAATGCTATACAGAGCTACCAAATACAAAACAATAAATGGGCCGGAACCTGGATCATATTTTGTGCAGCTAATTTTGGATGATGACAACAAGAAATTCTTGGTTCATTATGACATAAACAATGAAATCTACAGTTGTGCCTGCAAAAAATTTCAAAGGGATAAGATACTGTGTGGACATGTTTTAAAAGTGATGACACAATTGAATGTGTATGTGGCACCAGAAAAATATATGTGTGATCGCTGGACACTAAGAGGATCCGAACACGCTACAAGTACTCTTGTACCAGCACAAAATGATGAAGGAGCAAGCAGGAAGATGAGATATATTTCACTCTGTAAAAAATCAGCAACATTGCCTCACAACATTGCCTTTCCCGGCTGTCAGCACTATGACACCGCGGTCCAAGCATGCATCGACCAAAGGACCCGCTGGAACATCGAGCTCGATGCCGACGATGAGACCGATCCCCCGGATCTCTTTCACATGGGCGTTTCCACTCAGCTTGGTACTGAGAAGCTGCTTGAAGTTCTCTCCTTTCTTGGCCACCTCTGCTAGGAAGCCAGGTTTCTGGATCTTGTCCAATGTGGTCAATGCAGCCTGGCAAACAAGAGGGCCTCCCCCGAATGTGGTACCATGGTCGCCGTAGTTTATCGCTGAAGCAACCTTCTCGGTGACCAAGACTACACCGATGGGGAGACCACCCGCCAATGGCTTTGCCAAGGTCATAATGTCAGGTACTACTCCATAGGCTTCATACGCCCAGAGGTAACCAGTGCGTCCCAGACCACATTGCACCTGTGTTTAGTAACCATGTAACAGGAGTGTTAGATTAGATCAGCGCCCCCTTTCTGAATGCAACAGAGACATAGAATTTCAGAACTGTTCATTGATGATCGGCAGCTTTGGACATTTGCACTGATTTGAATAAGTATGAAAATGAAGGTTCCTATGGAGTGTGATCTCTGGTCTAAACTAAATGCATGTAAACAACTTTTACTTTGTACAATTCCCTCTGTTTTAATACAAATTGTGTAGTGGTTACCAATAGTTTTATATATATTTGGATTCAACTTGTGAGATTAGCATTGATTACTCAATCAACACCAACCCACAACATACTAAACATAAGGAGTAATAGAAGAAATATGTTTCATACCTCATCAAAAACCAAGAGAGCTCCAGCCTCATCGCAAGCATCCCGCAGCCCCTGCAAGAACTCCTTGGTGGCACTATGGATCCCACCCTCGCCCTGCATGGGCTCGACGAACACGGCAGCAATTTTGCCGGACTGAATCACCTTCTTGGCCTCCTCTAGGTTCCCGTACTCGGCGAACGTCGCGCCGGGCATCACCGGCGCGAACGGCTCCCGGTACTGCACCTTGCTGGTGAGCGCGAGCGACCCCATTGTCCTGCCATGGAAGCAGTTGGTGAACGACATGAACTCGGTGGGCGCGTCCCCGTCGGGGCGCGCCACCCTCTGGTACTTCCTGGCGAACTTGATGGCGGCCTCGTTGGCCTCCGTGCCGGTGTTGGCGAAGAAGACGCGGTCCGCGAAGGAGGCCTCCACGAGGCGCTTGGCGAGCGCCACATGCACGCGGAAAAAGAAATGATCACGGTGAGCTTGGCGTGACGAGAGGGTTGGGCAATGCGTCGAACACGTGGTGAGCGGTGGGCGTGACGCGTTCGAGACTGGCCTGGGGGACGGTGTACTGGACGTTGCTGGCGTGGACGAGGGTGGCGGCCTGGGCGGAGACGGCGGCGACCCAGTCGGGGTCGGCGTGGCCGAGCGCGTTGACGGCGATGCCGGCGGCCATGTCGAGGTACTCGCGCCCGTCGGCGTCGTACAGCTTGCAGCCGCGGCCGGCGACGAGGACGACGCGGGAGCGGTTGTACGTCCCGACGATGTACCTCGCCTCGTCCTCCACCACGGCGCGGCTCGCGGCGGACAGCTCGCGGCGCGCGGCCGCGGCGGGGGCGAGGGGCGCGGAGGTCGGGGGCGGCGGCGTGGGCGTGGGCGTGGCGAGGCACGCGGTGACGCGCGACGGACGGAGGCGCGCGCCGCCGAGGCCGAGGCCGCCAAGGGCGGCGGCGGTGGCGGGCGGGTTGAGGGCGAGGAAGGATTGGAGCGAGTTCATGGCGGGCGAGGAGAGGAGGGTTTGGGTGGAATCGGGCTTGGATGATTTGGGAATTGGAGGGATTAAATACGGGATTGGAATTGGGGGTTAGGTGTCGAATCGGCTGCCTGCTCTGCTCCTCGTGATTGTTTGTGTGGAGGCGGCTATCGCCTATCACGCTTTGGATCAAACAAAAGGTGTTAAGAGGTGTTTTTTTTTTCGTTGTTATACCACCACTGTACGTGTAACACCAAACTTACATACTTACAAATGTATTTTCTAACACATGTTAAAAGAGATGAAAAAAATGATGTAATATTCGTGAAATTTAGTTTTTAAATCTTGGTGGCATGCACCCACGTTTCCAGCACCACATCAGCGGCGTCTTTTCTGTGTCCTTTGTTTCAATAAGCTGATAGTTTTGCTGGCAACGTTTTAATTAGTGAGAATAAATATGATGGCTAAAATTTAATACTCCCTCCGTTCCAGGTTATAAGACGTTTTGACTTTGGTCAAAGTCAAACTGCTTTAAGTTTGACCAAGTTTATAGAAAAAAAGTAGCAACATTTTCAACTCAAGATAAATTTATTATGAAAATATATTCAATTATTGATTTGATGAAAGTAACTTAATATTATAAATATTACTATATTTGTCTATAAACTTAGTCAAACTTGAAATAGTTTGACTTTGACAAAAGTAAAAAATGTCTTATAACCTGAAATGGATGGAGGGAGTATTAAATTAGAGTGAATATCTCTCTATATATAGCGGTAGTTTGAGTTTCTTTTATACGTCTAATGTTGTATAATTATATCATTTCAAGAGTTATTAATAAAAGATTAAGAACTTATAGTCAGAATTTATCAAATACCAAACAGTGACAGTATCATTTTTTTTGAGCAGTTGTCTTTTTCTCGAGGAACCAATACTTTCTACCAGATTGATGTGTAGGATTTTGATGATATGGATAAGGCTGAAATATGGGGCATCATAGGCCTATCATGTGACTTCAACTAGGATAGAGTTCAACGACTTTACTGTTGTGTCTAAGGGTGTAAGTGGGTCAGCCGTGAATCTATTTATAGGTCAAGATAAACGGACTCGTGGTTTATTTTAGTCGATAAGTGAGTTTCGCGGGTTTGTCACTTACACTTCTAATTGTGTCACGTAGATAAATTGTTGATAGTGGCGAAACAAAAAACACAAACTTTATTTGATGGAGAGGATCCACGATACTTATCTTTTTAAATCTTACAAAAACTACAACAAATGTAGTGTAGTTTTAGGGGCTTAGGGGAGGCGATCGAGACCCCTGCTCACCCCCTCCCTATCTTCTCCACGGATAGTTGATGTATCACTTGAGTTAATATGAAGAGAATACATGCGAAATATGCAAAGATTTAACTCGGATGCTACAGATAAGACATAAGACATGATATAAGAGAGTTACTACCTCCATCCCAAAATAATAACATTTGACCGTCCGTCTTATTTGAAAAGTTTATAAAAAAATAAAAAAAATAGTGACACATAAAATATTTTTTTTCATGTTTTATCATCTACTAATAACAATAAAAATACTAATCATAAAAAAATTTCAAATAAAACAAACGGTCAAACGTTGGACATAAATAATATAAAATTACATTTATTTTAGTAAAATTATATTTATTTTAGGACGAAAGGAATAGCAGTTAGTGTTGCCGTGTGCACTCTAGTTTTTAAGATGCCGTGGATGATATAGACACTACTGATAGTATGTTTCGATGGAGAAATTATTATATGCTTTTCATTATCCTTTTTGTCTTTTTTTTTGCGGGGATTATCCTTTTTGTCTTTAATGTCTAGCTAGTAGCATTGGTATCTTTCTTTACACGCACTTATTTTTTTGGAAGCGTATTTATTTCCAGTAAAACACTATGATAAGATTAAGCACATCTTGGCCCGTTTCTTTACAACACATATGTTCCTCTTGCTTATGGGTCCCACATGTAAGTGAGAGGGAGTAGGTGCGAGTAAGGGAAATGTTCCAAACCAAGGTTGGTGGTTGGTGGTGGGTGGTGGCGTGCGTGCTTTCAGGACAGGAAGACGGGCTTGGTCAGAAGACTAGGGACAGAGAGCATGCACGCCGCACACGTTTGTTTTTTGCTTATACATTAACAATGCACAAACTTGATCATGTTCTTGAGACGACGACGACGAAATTTCGTTTATGCAGCATCATTCACCAGCTTGTTGATGAAAAATAAATAGAAGATGGGCATAGGCACAGGGAATAATAAGAAGAGCCATGTGATCTAAGAGAGATAAAACAAAGGAAAACCATGCAGTAATATCTGATTACTTGTCATATAACAAAATGACAGGGTGAGTACCTATCAGGATAGCATATATAGATTGATAGAAAGGTCCAAAAGGAAGGCAGCAGGAAACAACCAGTCAAGTCATATAAGTACCGAATAAAAAGGCACTTTCATGGAGACCACCAAATACACCAGCCATTACATCTGCAAGATATTTCTTTTAGCTGGATGAACTAACTCCACGTGCTTGTCAAATACTTATTCCAACATTTTCTGGAACCATATATATATAGTTTCCATCATGCACCAGATGGGCTTATTTTTCATACAAAAATCATCAGGAACAAAAGAGGGTCTGGTACAAACAGTGGTTTGTCCCATCTCCCTGTTGACGAGGGAAATCGGAAGTTGTAAAAGGCCCCAACAAAGACAGCACCTACAAAGGCTTCCGAACTCAAATGTTCCAGGAGGCAGAAACAATTGAGTCCGTGAAGCTGAATTGCTGCACGGCGGTTATTTTTCCCTCTTCAGGCTCAAGAAAAAACGGACGGCGGACATTAGCTGCCGAGGCATGGAATAGAATGGACATGAGTTTTTTTTCTGTATGGGGGGAGTACATCTACAGACTGTCCAGTTTTGCTGTGTAAGAGGTTTCTCAGCATCAGTATAACAACTCCTGGAAGACAGGATCGACGCTGCGTTGCCACTTCGTCTCGTACAAATTGAGCAGCCTCTCAGCTGGGGTCACTCCTGCAACAAAGTAGGCTACGAATTATTGTCTGAAAACAGAGTTAAACTCTTCATTTTTATTATCTAGAGCCCAGCAAAACCATGAAAATGTTTATATCATCATCAATGAAAAGAGATGCTGGAATGTTGAAATCTTCACCTGAACTGATCACTGCATCAACCTCTCTTAAGAAACCAACCTCCTTGTACCCTCTTCTTTCTAATCCATTCTGGAATAACAAAAAAAGGAGCATTACAGACAGGCAGATATAATCTGCATGCACTCCGTGTTATAAAAGAATGTACATTCAAGAAAGTAAATAACCTTGGACAACTGCAGAATTTCTTCAGCTAGATCTCTTACATATCCATCCCGGAAGGGTGTCTTCAAACCGGTTACAGGTACCTAATCAAATTAAATACAGTAAGGCCGAGGTGACTCTAGTAGCATGTTGTAACTTCCGAACCTGGGTTACTTTGCTAATTTACAAATTATTCTGACAAAAAAGATTGTATAATTCTGTTAAAACTGGTGTGATTGTAAGGCAAAACAAAAGTTTATTTATGGATCAACAGTATATTATATAACTTGGCAGGGACAGAGAGCACAAATAACTCAAGATACCTTTCGCCTTAGCATTTCTCTTTCTTCATTTGTCCAATCAGAGGTCATGTCCGAAATACTTTGCAGTGATTCCTCATCATACAACAGCCCAACCTGTATACAAGTACCAATTCCAAAACTGGTTCAAAATTCTTCCTATAGAACATGGAAGATATAAATTACTACAGTACCCATGTCCAAACTCTTTGTGTTTACTTCTACTTGACACCAAGACCACACTGCAAAGTGTACAGAAATACAAAAGAAGTGCAAAGGAGTAAGCTAACGAACCCAAAATGCTGGCAAAGCACACAATCTCCTCCATGGGCCACCATCAGCACCTCTCATCTCTAGATATCGCTTCAGCCTGACCTGCAAGCCAAATACAAAAGAACAAATAGTTATTACATTAAGCTTACAGTGTCAACATGCCATGATGATCAGCTATACAAATTTAAGGGCAAACCTCAGGAAATATCGTTGTTAGATGGTTCTCCCAGTCATTCAAAGTAGGCAGCTCCCCGGGAGCTTGTGGGAGTTTTCCTACCATAAAATCCTGCAAAACAAATATAAATCAAGTTAGTCTAGTTAATAACCAAGTTCTGTATTCTATAGCCAAAGCTCTACTGCATATAACAGAACAAGCACTAAGGTAACACAAACAGGAAGAGACCCGAAATGACATTCCAGTACAGTCAATGTACTTCTTATTTCGATAGACAAAATACATCGGGACATCTAATGCATAGTCCACATATCGCTCAAACCTGCATCAAAGAAACAAACTATAATCAGAATTTCAGTAACATGGAAACCTTCATTTCATGTGTAAAATATCTTTGGCCAAAATGAGGTCTTCAATCAAATTGCCAGTGTTCTGGGTGGGGGAAGAGGGTCGAATGGTATGAAATTATATATACTAACCCAAATGAGTCATCGAACACAAAAGGAAGCATCCCTGAGCGGTTGTTGTCAGTATCAGTCCAAATATGGCTGCAGATCATGAATGATGTTGGCAACTTCATACAACAAAACAATGTACTTTTAAAAGCAATAAAGCAATCACCTTCTTAAGCTAAGATACCCATTTGGTTTTCCTTCTTTGAAGGGAGAATTAGCAAATATTGCTGTTGCAATCTGTTAAATGGCAACAATCCATTAAATGAATAAACCAGGTTCATGTGAGAGAGGGCAAAGTAAATGATCAGGGAAGATAACAAAAGTACCCACAGGCTGTAATGCAAGACCAGTGCGGAATTTCCTTATCATATCTTGCTCTGAACTGAAGTCAAGATTAACCTTCATGACTCAAGTAAGTAAAGTTGTTTAGAGAAGTAACAATAAGTTTTCAAGTTTCTTTAAGATGGAATTCCAAAATTAGTACATGAACATATAATTACACTCACCTGAACAGTGCATGTTCGGAACATCATATCAAGCCCAAGAGAGCCAACTTTAGGCATGTAATTCCTCATAATTTCGTACCTTCCCTATAAAGAAAAAAAACTGAAGCATTAAAATTTATAGGAACCCTTCTTGTAAGTTAAGTTAAATATGTACGCGACACTGAATTCATACAAAAACTAAAGCTTTACAAGGTCTAAGGCCAAAACTACCTTGGGCATTATTGGTATGTCACTCAGTGCCCACTTTGGCTGAAAACCAATTCCGAGAAATCCAATCCCCATTTCCTCTCCAACTGCTTTGACCTACAAGAATAGACGTTTCGGATTGGATCAACTGCTGGCAAAAAAAAAAACTTTCGGACTGAAGATATATATGGCATGGCAATGCACAAATCATAACTGAAAATCACATAAAGCAAGAAGTTAATACAGGGATGCAGTGCGCATTACCTGGTAAAGATGTGAATTGACCTCAGCACAAGTTTGATGTAATGTTTCAAGAGGAGCACCACTAAGTTCAAACTGACCACCAGGTTCTAGTGAAATGCTTTGCTTTCCCTGCAACCATATACAAGTACCTCGAATTAAGGAACAAACTAAAATTGTCAGAACAAACTGTAATGTTTTTGTTTGTTTTTCCATTAGAGTTAATTACGGCACTCCAGTGAAGCACATGGAAATTTTCTCCACGTTAATTGTTGGTCTAAGTCATGTAAGGTGGTATTATAGGGGAAATAAGAGCAGAATACTACCTGCTTGAGACCGATAACATTATTTTCTTCAACTATCTTGTCCCAATCAAATCTCTCAGCAAGTCCATTCAGGATGTCACGGATCTGATCGTACTTTATAGGACGCAATGTATCAACTTCAAAACCGAACTTCTCATGTTCTGTGCCAATTCTGTGAAATCAGAAATTTATTTATGGCATAACCAAAATAACTAACTGGAATACTCCATATCAAACAAAGCGGGAGTAAATTGAACAAACAAGATGACATTGCCAATGCCACAAAAACTGAATGCAGGCACCAGCAGAACTTTCATGCCCAACGAATGGTGCTAGCAGATCAGGTAGAAATAACAATCACAGCTAAAATTACCAATAAAAAAATGATCAAACAGTTGCATTAACAACGCATAAGACTAAACAGTTTGTCTGCACAACATTAGAGTACTAGAGCCATATAAACCAGTTCATCAGTCATCAATAGAAAGCCCGAAATCAATCGATTTATAACTAAAACTGCAATTGCGTAGCTAAAGCAGCGAGTTAGGCTATGCCAATAGGAAATTCTCCAATTCCACATTTCCATCGAACCCGATACGATAATGATGTCTCCATGCGAACCATTCTACCAACCCCTAGTTTTTGTAGAGGAAAAAACTACCTACCACTACCACTAGTGAAGCAGTGACAAGCTATCCAATTTCGCAAAAAGAAAAAAAAAACAAACACAAGGGAATCTCCTCTCCTCACCTCCAGTTCTCCTTGGGCTTGCACCCGGAGACGAGGTAGGCCATGAGGTCCTCCTTGGTGAGCGGCTCCGTCATCTGCACCGCCTCCTCCGTCGGTGGGCTCGCTGCCACGGCCCCGCCTCGCCCCCTCCCCCTCCCCGCCGCCGTCGGGACCGCGACCACCGGCCGCCCCCTCCTCCTCCTCCTCCTCCCCGCCGCTCCCCCGTCCGGCGCCACCCGCGCCACCGCGAGCCGCGACGCCACCGCCATCAAATCCGTACACCTAAGAAAAACCTTGAGAATCACAACAAAAAAAAAGGGAAAAAATCAGCCGAAAATTGACGCGACAATACGTGGGCTCGGCTCACGAGGCCGCGGAATCGGGCTCACTCACCTCACCTCCCCTCCCCGCCGGCGAGAGAGGCGCCGCAGCGGCGGCGGCGGCAGCGAGGCGAGTGCGAGTGAGAGACAGCGAGAGGGAGAGGCGAGCGAGAAGATAGAGAGGAGGAGGCGAGGCGGCGAGGTTATAAAAGCGGTGGGGTGGGGGCCCACACGTCAGTGGCTGGGTGACGCCACGTCAGCTGGGCTCTCCCCCTTGAAGTGCGCGCTGTTTGGGAGTACCTATACATCTTTCGAAAGATTTTTATGATTGTATCACACATATTTTTAATCTTTGAATTAAAATCCGATAGATATAATAAAAAGCAAAAAGCAATTAAGAAACACCATAATGGACACTAAATTACCATATCCTCAAGAAAAAGACCAAATCCAATACAAAATTTAAAATTTACATGCGAAGATTCAAAAATTACAGTGTAACTTACAAAAGTTACAGTGTAAGTTTCATAAATTACACTGTAATTTATAAGAAAATGCACTGTAAATTTGAGTGAGAAAATCGAGTGAGAGATAAGAAAAAATCTTTCGAGTGAGATATAGCAAAATCGCGCTGTTTTTGCTGCTGCTGTTGATGATGCATGAGGGCAGTCTTAATTCATAGTGTTCATAAGTAATGTCTATGATGCCATGTCAATAAGACATCACAATAAAAACTATATTTTACAACCCATGGTTTCTTAAAGTGGGCCATTAATAAATACATCATCTCTTTTCTCTACCATATTTATTCTTCATCTATTAGGAGGGAGCCTTTTATGTGGAGCGGTTTTGCGCCCCAATTCGGGTAACAAACGGTTATAGACTTACCTTCAACTTCAATATCAAAAGAGAGACGCTACAAAACGGAATGCTGTTCGAAGGAGACAACATTAATATGGTAGTTACGATTCGGTCCCCGCGATTTACGGTGATATGTCCTAAATATCCCAGATCCAAAAATCAAGGCGCAAAACCAGGTTCCTCCTCGGCATCGCGCGCGATACCTCGTCGGCATCGGCGACACCCAAATCCTTGTCAGCGACGGCCGGCAACCTCGTCGGCGACACCCAGATCCTCGTCGGCATCGCGCGCGGAGCGCGTGATACCTCGTCGGCATCGGTGACACCCAGATCCTCCTCAGTATCGCGCGCTACCTCGTCGGTGACACCCAGATCTTCGTCGGCCACGGCCCGCAACATCGTCGGCGACACCCAGATCTTCCTCGGCATCGCGCGCACGATACCTCGTCGGCGACACCAAGATCCTCCTCGGTATCGCGCGCCACCTCGTCGGCGACGGCCGGCAACCTCGTCGACGACACCAAAAACATCCTCGGCATCGCGCGCTACCACGCGCGATACCTCGTCAGCGACGCCAACTACATCCTCGGCTTGCACGGGCAATACCTCATCGGCGCTGACCACAACCAGAACACTCCTCGGCGTTGATAGGTATTTTCATCTAAACTTGATACCTAATACTAGATGTTTTGAAACTTGATACCTAGTACTAGATGTTTTGAAACTTGATACTTGATACTAGATGTTTTAAAACTGGATACCTTATACTAGATAGATGTTTTAAAACTTGATACCTGATACTTCTGTAAGTAGAAATGCTAAATTTGTATCAAAACTGGTGAAAAAAGAAAACTGGTAATATTGTCCATGGTAATCTTACACTTATGTTTTGTGCTCATTTATCAATGTTTGTGCTCTTGCAAAAAGGCTGATAATTATTTTTTAGTAATCTGGTACTTCTGATTGTAGAACTGAAAAAAGTTTGATGAAAATTGGTACTAACCTGATAATGGTATGTTTGTCTAATTTGAGCCGTACAGAATTTAATGTTTTTTTTTGTTTTGCACTATCAAAATGTGAAGGGGGAGTGGAAAAAAGTATGAGTTCGTCAGTTAGTTCTATTGAAAGAAGAATGGAAGATCTTCAAAACATGGGTGCTGGGGCTTGTGTTTCTGCTGAAACAAGTGTGAATGAGCAGGCTACAAGTGTGGGTGAGAGATGCTGAAGTTCTGAGGGCAGCACTGCTTGAAGCTGGAATAGTCACAGGACCCACAAGTATTTTGCAAGTTGATGCTGGGGATGGATTTGAAATAGAACCAGTAAATTGAACTGGAGGATCTGAAATGGAGGCTGAAACAAGTGTGAATGAGCAGGCTACAAGTGTGGGTGAGAAGGATATAGATGCTGAAGTTCTGAGGGCAGCACTGCTTAAAGCTGGAATAGTGGCAGGACCCACGAGTATTTTGCAAGTTGATGCTGGGGATGGACTTGAAATAGAACCAGCAACTACAACTGAAGGATCTGAAATGGAGGGTGTCCAATCACAACCTGTGGTACCATTTGTTGGTATGGAGTTCTTTTCAGACAAAGAGGCACGCGTGTACTACAATAGGTATGCAAAAAATTGAGGTTTCGGTAGAAAGGTTTCGAGTTGCAAAAGAAGCAATGTCACCAAAGATTACAACAGATATGAGTTCGCTTGCTATTCTGAACGCACAAGTAAGGAGCAGAATGCAAAATCAAGTATTGGAAGCAGATCCAGGAAGTGCAACAGCATACGGAAAACTGATTGTAAGGCGAGAATGGTGGTCGTTAAAAGGGCTGAAAAGTGGGTGGTGACAATAGTAGACTTAGATCACAATCATCCTCCTTTGAGCCCCAATTCTCTAAGGTTCCTAGAATCACACCGTAACGTGTCGGATGAAGACTATGAGCTAATAGAATTACGGCACAACAACAACATCCCCACTAGAAGAATCATGTCTGTCCTGTCTGATTTGTATGGTACCATGCGTAACATACCATTCACAAAGAAAGATGTTAGCAATCTGAGGACATCGATGAGAAAACGGACTACTGCAAACGGAGACATGGCTGAAACCATCAAGTACTTCCAGGAATTGCAAGCAGAAGATCCATCGTTTTTCTATAGCATGGAACTGGACTCGGATAATACGGTTGGTAGCTTATTTTGGGTGGATGGTGCCTCAAAAGAAGCATACAAGAAATTTGGTGATTGTATCGTCTTCGACACAACATACTGCACAAATAAGTATAACCTCCCATTTGCTCCGATAATCGGGGTAAGCAACCATGGCCAGACTGTCCTATTTGGGTGTGTATTCCTGAAAAATGAAAAGGTTGAAACTTTTGAATGGGTGTTTGAAACATTCTTGAAAGCAATGGATGGAAAAGAGCCACAATGCATCATGACTGATCAGGACAAAACAATGGAGATTGCAATTGCAAAAGTGCTGCCAAGAACTATTCATAGGCGCTGTATGTGGCATGTGCATAGGAATGCTAGTACTAACCTTGGTGTGCTGTTAAACGGCAAGGAAGGGTTTGAAACAGACTTGAAGTCATGCATTGATAATTCTTTGAACGAAGAAGAATTTGATGCAAGTTGGGATGCAATGATTGATAGACATGAGTTGTGTGGGAACAAGTATATGCAACACCTCTATGATAACAGGAAAAAGTGGGTCCCCTGTTTTTTCATGGATTACTTCTTCCCATTCATGAGCACCTCCCAAAGGAGTGAGAGCATGAACAAATTATTCAAAGATTTTGTCCACCCAGCTGATTCAATCAGGAATTTCATCTTCCAATATGAGAAACTTGCCCAATCTTGTCTTGACAGGGATGACAATCAGCGGTTTATAACAGTCCAAACAGACCCAAAAATGTGGTCTGGCTATCCAATGGAAGAACAAGACTCAAAGTTCTATACACGTGCAATGTTTGAGGAGTTTCAAGAAATGCTATACAGAGCTACCAAATACAAAACAATAAATGGGCCGGAACCTGGATCATATTTTGTGCAGCTAATTTTGGATGATGACAACAAGAAATTCTTGGTTCATTATGACATAAACAATGAAACCTACAGTTGTGCCTGCAAAAAATTTCAAAGGGATAAGATAGCAGTTCGACAGGCCGTAAAAAGAAAAAGCCAAGTGATAGCAGCAAGTTCTAAGAAGAAAAAACTTGATGATACCAGCTGTTTGGTGAGCCATGAAAAGATATCATCTAGCAATCAAGGCTCTGCGTGCTAATATGAGGTAACAAAAAATAGTCAATTTTTATTCATGTTTGCATCGCCAAAAAAAAAGAGAAGAAGATTGATGATTTTGGTACTGTCCTCTTTTTATATGCAGGATTGTGATGATCCCACCAGGTGGTAAAACCCCACAGTTCATGTGATTCTTCAAAAAAAATGAAACATTCCTATGCTTCTACTTTTAAAAAAACAATGGTATTGTAATATTTGATATACTTTGTTGTGGTGTGGCTAAGAAAATTATGTTATCACTGTGATGAATGTGGGCACAAAAGTGTACTTGTGTTCTGATATGTTGCGTTTATGAATATTTGTGCTATAACATAAGTACATTGTGTTATGACATGTTGCAGTTATGCATATGAATTTGTGCTATGAGCCAAAAAAATATTTTTCTAACTAAAAAGGATACCTGGTACACCCTGGTTTCATCTAGCTAGTACCAGGTACCAGCAATATGCTCTGCCTGATAAAAAAAGGCATGCTGGTTCCTGGTACAAAATGGGATACCCTGGTACCAGTATGGTACCTGGTACCTGATACCAATATGGTACCATGCAGGTGCCTGGTGTAAAAAAAGGTACCAAGGTGATACCCTGGTACCAGTATGGTACCTGGTACCTGATACCAGGGTGATACCCTGGTACCAGTATGGTACCTGGTACCTGGTACTAGTAGTATGGTACCAGGCTGATACCTAGTACCTGGTACCTGATACCAGGGTACACCAGTATGGACCTGATACCAGGGTGTTACCCTGGTAATAGTATGGTACCTGTTACCTAATACTAGTATGGTACCAGGCTGATACCTGGTACCAGTATGGTAGCATGCTAAATGATTAGCTAAAAAAGAATACCATGCTGATACCAGTGTGGTAAGTACCTGGTAAATGGCACAGCATGGTGACTTATTGGCAAAAACATCATAGGCATCATAGTTGAATTTTTTTTTAAAAGAAGGGTTGCTGATCTAGAACATCAAGTTGGATGAAAAAGATACCTTTTCGAAGCAATATATGAGTTAGTAAGTTGAAAATCACATGTATTAGTGCAAACTACAAAATGATACTATTTGGCTAGGGAGTGTCAGTCTACAAAACACACTGCTTTAGTTTTAGTGCAAACTGTATCAAGATCAGTGAGGGAACCTATACAAAAGAGTCTACGACCTGGCATTACATCTTGGCACTTTTGCCCCCAAACAACAAAGGATAAAAAAAAAACAGTTCTTCAAATGACGCGATGAGGGTGTAGATCATTGAAGCGGTGGTACAACAGCCTGTGGCAAATCATCGCACGGTATTGTCGCTTGTCCTTCTGAGAAAGAGAAACATACAAACAGTCAGCTTTTAGAAGCAGAAAAAATGTATGTATAGGGTGAAAAAAATTAAAAAATGTCAAACAAAGGAATAAAATACCGTGTTGTATCCAACAAGAGTCCTGCCGTTGTGACACTCAAGCATCCTCAAAAGGCAGAAACCTCAGTCATGACTACATTGGAACAGAATAGAAAAAAACAGTGTGAAAAAAATGGTAATTGCATCTGATTTATGTCAAGTATCACATGATTACTAGAAAAAAAATCAAAAACAAATACAGTATACTTACAACCTATCTTGGCTAGGGGACACAGGATACTGGATTTTGAAAAGGCAAAATCCAAGGTGGAGGTGACAGTCTCCGGCGAGGTCAGGTACCAGGCGCACTACACCAAGTGCAAACTCCCGCGACGTGCCCGCTCAAGCTGCAGCTTGCGCCGCCGGCGGTGGTGTTCCGGAAGGTCAAGTGCAAGCTTGCCACTGCCGACAAGAACTACTAGTGCTAACCTTGTCGTGGGCATCCCCATGGCTGTGCCTAGCTTTGCTAGTGATTACACGATTGATTTGTTTGTTCCTCTGGTTGAGTTTGTGATTTAATTCCTCTCTGAATTTGTGGTGGATTTGAAGGAATTGCACTATTGTAGTGTTTGATTCAACACGGTTCTTTGATGATTGTGGAAAGGGAATTTCTCCTCTTTTATTTTCTCTCCCTCATTCTCTCTCTCTCTGCTATTTCTTCAAGCAAGCCTGAGGAAGAGAGCGCCGGCGCCGGCACGGCGAGGCACGGGCTGGTGCGATGCCTCGGCAGGGACGACGCTGCACGGTCGTGTGCAAGGGCCAGGGCCGGCACGACGAGTCACCGCTCCGCTGCCCCATCTAGAAACAAAGAGGGAGAGAGGGGCTTACATGTGGAGCTCCGCTCGCCTTGCCGGTGTTGTGCCCAGGGTGCTCATCCGCCCGCCAACACCAGGTGACGAATCCGACCGGGTTTGGTTCGACCGGGGACCCAAGTCTAGGATAGATGGTGAGGCGCAGGGGCACTCCGGTTATTTTGAAAAAAAAACTCACCACTTTCAGTCTGGAAATAATAAAATAATACGTCCGGTGTCCTACGGCCAATTGCACAACTTTGATAGTGTCTATGAGCAGTGTCACGTTTTTGCGGTGTCTCTCAGCTAATTACATGATTTTTGAGTGTCCTGTAGCAAATTTTGCCTAATAATAATACGGTGATGATGGTATTTTTGTTAAAAAAAAGACATTTCTACTTTTTTTATAAAAGGGAAAGGCATGTGTACTTGAATATGTTTTTTTTTCAAAAATTCAGTGGTTTTAAAAGCTTTTGTCTAAACCATGGGTACATATGTAAAATTATAAAATAGAAAATGTATCGGTGATAGTATTTTTTTTGTCAGCTTGTGGACAAATAACTACATATATAGTGTGGTTCTCGAACTATAATTTATCTAAAAACATTTTACTCCAATACGACGTAGATAATATGGTCTATACTATATGGCGTCCTGACTATTCTACCGTTCCTATCACGATGTCTGGATATCGAGGTCGATCTATAGGTGAACGCAGGTCACCATCTACATCGAAGCATCTTCTCTAGTCAATGCGTTGGGGGCACAATTGCAATGCGTACGGGAGGCGGCAAAGTGCCGTGGCCAACGGACCTTTTTATATCTTGTTTTGACTTTTTTCTAAGTTAAACATTTTTAAGTTTAATCAAGTTTATAAAAAATATAGAAACATTTTTAACACATAACAAACATACTATCAAAATATATTCAATATTAATTTTAATGAAACTAATTTAATATTATTATTTTTTTATAAACCTTAGTCAAACATAAAAAGTAAGTTTGACTTGTAAAGAAATGGAGGGAGTATAAGATACGATAAACTGACTAAAGTATTTTTTTATTTAGATAAATATACACATATGAATTTCGTCCTATATCATTTTCTATGTAAAATTGTGTTTGATAGTAAGTTCCTTTTTTTTAAAAAAAATGCATGTATGGCCTCGTTACCTAATAGGTTATTGCTTAGCTAGTATATTATAAATATCAAAATTTTAATCATATATTAAATACATTGGTTACCTTTTAACTATAATGCTTTAAACTAAATTTAGAAAAAGTTCAAATCAATTACAACTCATTGATTAGTTACATTAAAACTGAAAATTAAATTAACAAGATACTAAATTGAGAGCATAAGATGAACACAGCTTCATATCTACGATCATTACAAACCAATTCAGCCAAAATTTTCTTGAATTAACATGGTAGCCATTTTATATTAGAAACTTAGCCTATCAAATAAGAAACTTAGCTCTTAAATTTATTTTAAGATAAACGAAAGAGGCGAAAAAATTTATTTTAACCTAAATTGAAATGGCTAAAAAGTACGAATGAAGGAGTACAATTTAGTGCCTGTTTGTTTCAACTTAGGATGGTTATAATCTGGATTATTATAAGCAAGCTGAAACAAATAGATAGCTTATTATGATATATTATTACAATCTATAAAGCCAGATTACTATAATCTAGTAATCCGCTTTAAAGGAGTTTATTTTAGATTATTGAGTGGCTAACAGCTAACAAGCATCTAATAATCCAAACAAACAACTAACAGCTTATTTTATGTCGGTTTATTATAATCCAGCTTATAATAATCTGGTTCAATAATCTAGATTACAATAATCTTAAGTTGAAACAAACAGAGCCTTAGTGGGAAAGGTGGTTCTAGTTCCCTCAGGGCAAGTACTATAATGCTACATATACTGTCCCAAAGAATGTCACATCGGATTGAGTGATGAGGTAGATAAGAGAAGTGAGAAGAGAGATAATGAGCCACCCCTAAATCAAGTGATAACCTCCACATAAATTTCAAGAATAAAACGTGAGAGTATTAGATATATTGGTATTTGTGTACTAGAGTTAACATATTGTATGAGTTGTCTCTTAATTTATCAGTGAATGATATAAATAAATTTAGAGATGGTAGTCACATCAACCATAGCACTTGCTCTTATGGTTCTAAAGATGAATAAATGTCGCATCCAGCATGAGTAAATTATTTGATACGAATTTTTAAAGAACGCCCTTTCGTTTAGCCAGAAATAAAACAGAATTTGTGAAGCTTTACTTTGACCAGAAACTGTGATACATAGTCATATAACTCAATGTGTGCGTTAAGTCAACTAATAACACACATGACTACCATGCTACCTCCATTTTACCAGCATCTCGTATTAGTGAAGATCTGGTGACAGATTACATCAAGCAAGAGAGATGACCATGTCAGCAGGCAATAGCGCATCATCATACTAGGATACGTGTATTCCATGTTCAGAATCCAATCCAATAATCCGAATAGTGTACAACCCAACCAAGTAATCTCATACAACCTAACGGGATAGTAAACCCCAACCAATTACACCGTAACTAAGGTAATGTGTTAACAAGAACAATGCACTCCACGATCACATGCTCCACCTTGAATCCAACAAGCTCAAGGACCGGATCATCCTGTTCAGCAAGCTCCTTTTAGCTGTAAGTGCCCATGCCAATGTTGGAGCCACCGTACGGGGCACCCCCAGCAGCATCGCGGGACTTGGAGTAGCTAACGTAGTAGAATTCGCTGAGGATGGCTGTGAAGAAGGTGAAGGCCGCACCAGCAGCAAAGACACCTTTGCGCACAGTCTCGCAGGAGACGGACTCGCCAACGAACATCCCCCTGTACCGGGTGTGGTACGCATTCCGGATGGATCCGGCCATCAAGCATGCCTCAGCAATGAGGAAGGTCAACCTGCCAACGATCAGAAAACATCTTATTGAGTAATCATTTTATGGCAAGTACATTTGATTTGACTTATTAATTGGCGTATACCCTAATTTTTCCATATTACAGATTCAGGCAGTAGTAGTTAAATTCAAATAAATGCAGAAATGAGAAACAAAGCTAAACCATTTACCCTATGTACTTTGGTCAATCAAAAACCAATAGATTAGAACATGAAGAAGCACCGGGAAAAGGGAACATAACAAAAACTGTTGAACGGATGCACAGTTGCATATCAGTATATCTTTAAACCATAGGTGTTGAAACATCTGTTCATATTGGAACACCTAGAATATGATGGATATGCAGTTCTGGATTAAGTATATGTAGTGATGGACACAACAAGCATCGTCAGAGCAGGAAGATGAAGGGAATTAGATTTGATGACATTTGGCTGTAGACTATGACAGGTGTACACTACATGAAGGTTTGGCTAGCCAAGGACACCAAGAAAGCAAGCTTTCAATTGATGTTGACTTCAGAACTTTTTTGGGATATCCCAATTGTTGATTTCAAGGAAGACCATATAACCAAGTTAATTAATTTAACAATTCATTAAAGAAACAACACAAATCAATTATAATTTGTAAAAAGATAATCACAAGTGCATGGCTACTATTAAATACTACTCCCTATGATCCCACAAAACTAGTATAGTGAGCTGTGTCAGGCCAGGTAACATGGTCTCATTACTTTATTTAAAGTCAATGAGCTAATTAATAACACAGGTACCACCCACGGAACAAGACAGGCTGTGTTCGCTGGAGGGGGGAGTTTGGAACTAAACTCTCCGCACGGAAAACGCAGCAGTCCATTAGCACGTGATTAATTAACTATTAGCTTTTTTTTTCAAAAATGGATCAATATGATTTTTTTAAGCAACTTTCGTATAGAAACTTTTTTTTTAAAAAAAAACACACCGTTTAGCAGTTTGAAAAGCGTGCGTGCGGAAAAAGAGAGGGGTGAGTTGGGAAAGGGGGATTCCGAACACACCCAAAATAGTTGTTATCAACGTCTGCGTAATGTTAAATTAAAAAATAAAAAATATTTAGTTCAAGTGTGCACCTACTGTAGGAACACTAGTTCAACTGTTAAATCCTACTCCCCCATTTCATAATGTAAGACTTTCTAGCATTACCTAGATTCATATAGATATTAATGAATCTAGACATATATAGTGTTTAGATTCATTAACATCTATATGAATGTGAGCAATGCTAGAAAGTCTTACATTGTGAAACGGAGGAAGTACCTAGTAGTAGTACAAAGCAACCAGTGACAAGCACTTTGCGCTTTGTGGGGCAAGTAAATTTGAGGCAGTTGGACATATGCAGTGACTCATGTAGCAGTTGGACATATGCAGCCACTAATGTAGGAGTAGCAATTAAACATATGCAGGCCACTCATGTAGAAGTCCAGTAGATCTACCACTTATTCAAGTAAACTATTGCAACTTTGAAAGGATAAATTCTTGAATGGGAGGTACTACCTTAAAATCCCAGAAAAGAATTGTTCAATTGTATATAGAGCTTCCGTGAGACTAATGAAATGCAAAAGCACAGCTTTAGTTCACGTCAAAATTGGAAGTTTGATTGAAATTGGAAAGATGTGAAGGAAAAATTGGAAGTTTGTGTGTGTAGGAAAGTTTTGATGTGATGGAATAGTTAGAAGTTTGAAGAAAAAGTTGGGAACTAAAACAAGCCTAAGAAAAGTGAACAAGTCTCCCCCACTCTTGGAGTTTTAACTGTTTAGCTTTTGTGACAGAGGAGCTGCCATAAAGTGAGGAATATTTAACCATTTGCCACATTTAGATGTGGCAATTAACTTTTTGCCACTGGACCCACATGTCATAGACACATGTGGACCCACATGTCATTGAGATAGGGGTGGCAAATACTCCCTCTGTACTCGTAAAAGAAGTTGTTTAGGACAGCGACACGGTCTCCAAAACACAACTTTGACTTCTTTTTTCTATAAAAATATTTATTGAAAAGTGATATATGTATACTTTTATGAAAGTATTTTTCAAGACAAATCTATTCATATAATTTTTATATTTTCAAACTCAACAACTTGAGAGTTATTCATGATTTATATTCCCAAGGTTTGACTTAAACATTGTCCTAAACGACTTCCTTTATGAGTATGGAGGGAGTAGTTATTTGCCAAATCTAAAAGTGGCAAATAGTTAAAAGCCCCCATAAAGTGAAAGCTGCCTCTTGTGCGAGCTGAAAAAAATAGTAGTACTAATTTCCTTATAAGTGGACAACAAATCACCACTTTGAGTGTGCCACAATTCAATTTGACCCTTCACCAACAATCAGCGGAATGAGGCAGCAGTCATGTGCTTAAAATATATTTTTGGTTAGCATGAAAGAGATAGTAAACCTAATAGATCTGAAGGAAGAACCTCTTTGCTTCTGAATAACAGCTGCCCGAACTGATGCTCAGTTTTTTCAGACTAAAATTATACTAACTGATTAGGTAGTGAATGAGCAGAACAGCTCAATAGGCCCGGTCCACTGAAGCAAAATGGTTATGAGCTCTAAATTAATAGCCAATCCAGCATAAATAAACCATCCAATAATTGTCCTCTAGATCCTCCCCTCACTAAATGCTTATGTGCAAGCATTTGTTGCAGTAGATCTGCTCAAACCACTAGATCCCATCCTCCATTAATTGCCCACCAACAACCGGATCTGAACTGAAGCTGCGCGTTCTGTGCTCAAACCACAAGTGGTAGATCTAGCTAAAAATTACCGCGGAGATTAAACTACCAGCAACCCAGATCCAGAAGCAAGCAACGAAGAGGCGCGAGATCCCAAAATATGAGTAGAAAGAAAAAAGAGGCAAAGCATTCGTAATGTTGTTTGGTTAATGTGGTGAAGCATTCGATCGAGTAGTAGCAAGCGGAGTGATGGTGATTTACCATGCGAAGAGGAAGAGGATGAGGGCGCAGGCGCGGGATCCGCCGGGCTTGAGGCCGCGGCCGCAGCAGAAACACTTGCTGGCGAGCATGACGACGGCCTGCGCGGCGGCGAGGAGGAGGAGCGCGCCGACGCCGTAGCCGGTGGCGATGTCGGAGTCGTAGACGCAGTAGTCGTACAGCTTCTCCGAGTCGGGCGTCACCGTCGCCTGCAAAAAAAGCAACCCCCGTACGTACGTCAGCAGACGGCTCCTCCAGAGGCCGGTAGGAGAAAGGAAGGGGGTGAGTGGGAGGGGGGGGGGGGGCTTGCCTTGCTGCGGCGCTGCTCGGCGGCGACGGCGAGGCCGAAGGCGATGACGTCGAGGAGGAGGACGGAGGCGAGCACGATGATGGACGCCATTGCTGCCGCTGCTGCTGCGTGAGGTGGTGTGTGGTGTTCGCGGCTGCTCCTCGTGGGGAGTAGTAGTTAAAAGGAGAGGAGAGAGAGAGGGGCGCGCCGCTGCGGCTGGTGAGCGTGTCTTTTTTTTTTTTTTTTGGCTTGGGGAAGAGGGAGATTAGCTGGGTGTGCGTGTCGGTGTGGTAGAGTGGAGAGGCGGTGGCGCGCGGTAGCACATCACCTCACCGATCTGGTGCGGTGGTGACTGGTGAGTGTGGAAGTGGACGGTCTAACCGAGCGAGGGATGGGGTCCACCTGTCGGGGAGTTCTTTATTGATTTTTACGTCGCCTCGGGTTGGTGGCTGCTTTCCGAGTTCCGACGGGGATGGCAGGAGTATGACTTTTTTAGAATTAAATTTTGCTAAATTTAATTAAGTTTATAAAAATAATTAATCTCTACTTTATAAAAATTATTAAGATGTTTATATGTTATTTTGGTACGTCATTCGAGTATGAGTAGTTTGTTCGTTTTTGAAAATATAGATGTGTATTGAGTCGGTTTTTTGAGTTCGTTTGCTTTCGTAAATACAGAAGTAATTGTATAATAATTCTCTTTAAAAAACTTGCATGCTAACCTAAGACGATCGTACTCCTAATTGCCGCTCATAATTTTCTTAAAAATATATATATCCAAACGAGTTCCCACAGTAGATTTTACCTTAACTAAAACGTATAACAATAATAACATTAAAATAGCCTTACCCGTTGCAACGAACGAACATTTGTTCTAGTAATATCTAATATACCAAATTAATTTCATTATATCTAATATTAAATATATTTTAATAATATTTTTATTTTGTGTTGAAAATATTAATTTTTTCTATAAACTTGATTACTCCTTCGGGCTGATAATATTTATCGTTTTAGATAAGAATGAGGTCAAACATTAGAACCTTTGATTATAAATCAGTTTTAAAATATTTGTCTATCAGATATGATGATTACATGTATCGATTAGGCTTAAAAAGTAATGTAATAAAATCATATATATATGCCAATACTTTTATATTATAATGAAAAATATGATTAAAATTGTTTTTAGAGACTGTGTTCTTGTCCAAATTATTAATTCGGAGCGAAAACTCAAACTAGTAGTTTGACTTAAAAAAGATAAAGCAATGCTCGTGATAAATTTGCTCGTGGGATACCTGTGTCAGTGGAGCATGTTGACGATGAATTGAGTTGTTTTTATTTAGTACGGCAATTTTTTCGCAGCAATTTTCTGCGAGCACTTGCGTCCGGCAGCTTTGCGTGCCGCGCCTAGTTTAGTTAGGTCGTTTCGGTGTGCGGCGCACCAGGCTGCGTTTGGTGCGTTGTGGCGGGGCATGGTTGGCCGTGCTCCTCATTAGCTCTCACCGTCTCACACTCTCACGGGACAATCGCCCAAGCACCACGACGCGTGCCTAGTGCCCTTTACTCTTTCCGTTCTACAGTAATCTACCCTATAATTCACCAACAGTGTGTTACATCCTCATTCCTCATCGATCGGTCAGGATCGCCCCAATCAAATCCAACGCTCCACGTTACTCCCACCTCCCCCATACTCTCTCCCTGCAAACCCCGCCCCTCCCGGATTGCCCCTCTCTCTGCTTCCCAATTCCCATCCCCGTTTCCTCACGTGCAAACACAATTTGCGCTCCCTCTCTCCCGAGCACAGCCGCCGCGCAATCTCCGCTCCCTCTCTCCCATCGCTCCCTCTGTCCCGAGCGCAGCAGCCGCCGCCGCCGCTGATTGATCATCGCCGGTGACCCCCCACCCATCCCCTCATGCGCAATCCCTCTCGCCCGGAGCGCAGTTCCTTGTCGCGGTGACCGATCCCCCACTACGCCGCCGCCTCCGAACCCCGACGCCGCGTGGCTTCGTACCTACCTTGCCAGCCAACTCGAGATCGACGGCGAGCCCTTCCACCAACAACGGCGCCATCCCCTACTTCGACGGAAGCTGCTCCGTCAACTTCCTCCTCGGCCCTCCCCAACGTCCTCCAGATCAATGCCACCGACGCGTCTCAATCCGACCGCTTCGCCAAACGCCGCCGGTGCCTCTCAATCCGGCAACGCCAGACGCCGCCGATGCCCCACATTGCTTCGGCATACATTTGACCAACGAAGGACATCGCGCCAACATATATAAATGTTCGTCTGAATATTTATGAATTTGGCTTTCCTCTCTGAATATTTCTGAATTTGGCGATATCATTTCTGGGTTGTTCTGAGTGAATTTTGAATATACTCATTTTTATTTTAATCATGATTGGTTTGCACACTAACTTCGTCATCTGGCAGGAGCATAAGCTACCCAATCAAAAATCGTCGTTAGCCAACTACCTGCTTCTTGGGACCCCTTGCTGTTTACCGCCGACGACGGTTCCTCCTCACTTGTAGGTTCTACTCTTTTTTTCCCCTGTTTCCCTTGTGTGTTTGCTAACTATTATGAACAACATGTCATCTTGGCATATTTCTTGCGGTAAAATGGCTAGCTTTTATTGTACATAGGATTCGTGCCACTGTGTACAGTCCCTGACTCCTACCGGCGGATACGTTCACTCAAGCTTAGCTGGTTTTATGTTGGCAAATAAAATGGGACAGTGATTAAGGTTAGTGCAAACGACGATGACATGTAGTACTTCATTTTACAGGTTGAGGCATAGGTGTTTTTTTTTTTTGGCAAAAATACCTGTGTCATATAGCTGGTTTTGGACACCAATTCTGTGGTTGTATGTGTTTAATAGTGTGCCCGTGCATTGCAACGGGAAAACTAATCATTAATCAGGGTTCAGTTTTCGTGATATGAAGGGGATATTTTCATCTTTGTCTTTATATAGGAGAAAAAATTGCCCATGATTTATTTATCTCAATTGCATCATGCACATCATGGCAAGAAATAATGTCTACCTGGAAGCTGCAACATGGCAGTCTTATTATAGTACTAACCTAAAAATTATATAAAGATCAAATAAGTAGGCGTCACCGAAAAATGATCTGGTGAAATGGTGATGTCAAAATCAGTAGGCTTCTATTTAGAAAATGTGGCTACATTCCAAAGTTGCATGAATTCCAGTTTGCTTCATCCAGATAGACCACTTAACTTAATTTACGAAAATTGAGTGACTGAATTTGACCGACTCAAAGCTTATCAAACGTACTGAGTGGGAGAGGAATACAATTTACTTAATTCAGAAGACCGGTTTATTGTGGTGAGCAGCTTTTGTTTTCTTATTTACTATTTCAACCATGCTTAATTGTATTTGTTAATCTTCCAGCAGTGCACTATATTTTGCAATTTCAGTACCCTATTAAGTAGCACACCATTTCAGTACTCGTTAGTCTTCCAGCAGTGCACATTATTTTTCAATTTCAGATGTTAGCTTTAAATTGACATGTGTTAGCTCTAAATTGACATTATTCGACAACTTCCAGTACTAAAGTCTTGCTCTGAATTCACATGTGTTATCTATAAATTTCAGATGTTTCATATAGATTGTCCTTGGGATACTGTCGAAACAAGATTTCGGCAATAATAAAAGGGGGTGGCTATCAAGTTAGGAAAGTGGATGGGTTTGGAGACAAAGAATTTTATACAGGTTCAGGCCTTCTTATTCAAGAAGTAATACCCTATTCCTGTCCGGGGATGATTCCGCCGAGTATGTTATTGATTGTATAAACTGGGAAAAAAGAATCGCGCCCTAAGAGGCACACGGACCCTCCTTATATAGGGGAAGGAGTCCGCTTTACAAAATACAGTCCATATCCTAACGGAATATGGGATTACAGATAAAATACAATCGTAACCGACTAGGATCCCGGGTATTTTCTTGACATACAAGTTTAGAATCTAACCCGAGTACTCATAGAGATATTCTATCTATATTTGGTACCATATATCCGACTAAATTATAACTGTCGTGTAGATATGGGGTATCCATAATCTCCACAGTAGCCCCCGAAACCTTCGCAGTTGACAGTAATAGCCTTCTCGAAACAAAAAACAGTAATCCGAGTGCTTCAATTCAACTTGCCGAGTGCTAAAATCAAAGACTACGAAGGGCAAAAATAAAACATGGTGCATCGAGTAGATGCACCTAATTAGGTGTAGCCCCTGACTATGTGATTAGTTGAAAAAACTAAACATATAGTCAAGAACCGAGTGGTTATATAGCGAAGCACGCATGGTACTTAGTAAGATACCCAGCCGACTGCTTCTCAACTTGAACATACCAAGAACAAAAATACAAGAAGGGCCGAGTGATAAACACTCAAAGGTCCAAAAATAGGCATATTTGATAGGAATCTGAGTAAGAAACTCGTAAAATGATCCACCAAATATGATAAAGATCATGGCAATTAGGAAGTTTAATAGCCTAGGCTATAACCCTTACCATAATCAAAATAAGCATATAACATGCTAGGAGAATGACTACTAATAAATCAGTCATCTCAAATTAACCCAACAGCTTTTGTAGCCTAAAAAAGCTTACAAAAATAGTATAACACCTTTCTGTCGGGTACCTTTTTATGTGCATCATAATAATTCCAAAGAATTATTGAATTGCGTTAAAAAAGATTTTAACAGCATCGGGTCACATCATTGTGAGCACATATTGCCAAAGCAAAAAGCGCTTAAGTCCCTAGGGATCACAACGGGCCACGCTGAAAACAAAATTGGGCTGAAGTACCGTACAGGCCCAGGCCCATTAGTACTCCCGATACCCTAAAAACACCGAAGTCCAAACGTCATTTCGTCTTCCCCGCCGAGACTCTCGCCATTCCCCGCTCCATGCTACAGTACAGAACCGCGCCGACGAAGTTAGGGTTCATCAATCTGCTCCAATCCTCCCTCAAAAACTTCACAAAATTTCTCCCCGCGTCCACCGCTCCAATTCCCCATTCCACTCTAGCCATATCTCGGACCAAATTAAACCATCCAGTTTACATTCATGGCGGAAGAAAGAGAAAGCTTCGAGAGTCAGTGGGCGCCCTCCGATGTAACAGAAGATAATCTGAAGGAAATGGTGGCGCACAGCGTTCTTCCGGCGAAGGAAATCATCGGGTGGCGACCGGCGTTCGGCGAAGCATTCCCGACCCCCGACACGCACGAAATCGTGGTATTTGCTCATTTCTTCTACGACGGATTTTCTCTTCCAACCTCAAGATTCTTCCGGGGGATTCTGAACTTCT